TTTTTTATGTTTATAATCTTTTTTCTCTCTTTGTCATTTTGATTTATTTACAGGGATGATGGAGGAGACTTCAGTTGTGCATCATTTGTATGTTTGGATGAGGAATGCTTGGATTAGGAGTACTTAGGTCTTGTTAGGAATTATGTTTGTTGTAGAATAAAGATTGGTTAACTATGTAATAACTATTGAATCTTCAAGTTTTATGAAAGAAACTATTTGTGTATATATTCATTAATAAAGCATTATGGTTGGTTTTCTAGTTAAAATCGTTGTATAGCATCATAGGGAATAAAAAAAAAACTAAAATGTAGCGGTTTGGAAACTTATTAGACGACGGTTTTTATAATAAATCATGGTCTTTACAGATAATTAACGACGGTTTTTATAAAAAAAAGTATCGTCTATTATAGGTAAAGATGACCTTTTTAAAAAAAAATGGTCGTCTATTGTATGTAAAGATGACGGTTTTTTATATAAAAAAACCGTCATCTTTATAAACAATCCACGACGATTTTCATAAAAAACCGTCATCTTTACATACAATAAACAATGGTTTTATTAAAAACAGTTGTCTTTCCTCCTAGAATTAACGATCTGTACCTCTAAACAACGACGATTTTCTTTAAAAACCGTCGTCTTTACAGATAAACAACGACGGTGAAAAGCCATCGTAGTTTGAAACCCAAATAGACGGCAGTCGATTTCACGACGGTTGGAAAACCTTTTACACGACGGTGGTTTCCCGTCGTCTATTTCGATTTTTGTAGTAGTGCCCCTCACTAGTTTTCTTTGCCTCCGTCAAAGCATTGTTTTCCCAATTTCTATCCCTTTGTTCTAACCCTCTGGAAATTCGTTAGGAACTCAATGAGTATGAGGTCAAGTGTCCCATTTCTTTTCCTTTGGAACATTCTCTGGACAATTCTTTCACTCGTAATCATCTTGCATTCATTGACTGTAATTGTGAAGAAACAGCCTGAACTTTGTTACTAACTTCAAGGCTACTCGTCTGTTTTTTCCTCCATATGTCCAAATGTAAATAAGAAGTGGTTACTTGAGAGTTCTTTGATATTTACTTCACCAACTGGGTCCCAAATCTCCAACATCCTATTCTTAAAGGACTTATTGTGAACCGGTTTTGGTGAGTATAGCTTTGCCACTAAGCTTCTCTCTAGGATATCTTGAGATACACCATCATCTTCTTCTTCAATCACCAATGGATCAGCTTTTTCCGCTGTCAAAGTAAGTATTTTGTCAAAGCCTTTTTGAACTTCCTCCATTTGAAATTGCACCTATTCCTAAAGCTTTGAGTTTTCCACCTTGGAAAAGAATGATTGATTCTGCACCTTGGTTTGTTCCTAGTTAATAAACTAGGATATGATCTTGTGAAAAACACAAAAATAGATCGGATCTTGTGAAGAAACACAAGGGAAAGATCAAATCCTAGCACCCACTAGGTAAACTAGCTCTCACTTCAAAAGGGGGAGAGAGAAAACTCTCGACTGAATGTTATTTTTTTTTTTTTTGAATCTTTGAATAATGACTTGAAAATTAAAAAGTTTGAATTATAAAATTATAATGTGCAAACATTTTACCGTAGTTCAATTCTAAAAAGCACACAAACCTCGCACCATGTTTATTAAAAAAAACATAATTACCTTATGAGGGTGTATTCCATTAGGATTCTAGAGCATTTAAAAAGATTTTGTTTAAGTGTCAGCTTTCATAGAACTTGAACTTTATAATTCGTATAGAACTTGATAGACTTTCAGCAGACTTCTATATAAATTTTTTAATAAACTTTCTTAAGCTTTCATAGAACTTGATAGGCTTTTATTCCAGACTTATGTAGACAATATATTTCATTTTATCTCCATTCTTGTCATTTAAAGAAAGAAACTTGAATTTTTTCAATCAAATTTGTTTCTGTTACCCAAAGCAAAAACAAAAAGTACTTGTTTGCGATGGAAGAACATATGCACAGTTCAAAATGAAAAGAATAATCCAAGAATGTTGTGTCAAATATGCACAGTACTTTTTGTATGCACAGTACCTATTTGACCATGAATGCTGTGTCAAATATACACAGTACCTATTTGCACAGTACTTTCAATGTTGTCAACGTATATAGTAACATTGATGTATATAAAAAAGATAAAATAAAAAACCAAATTCATAACATCTTTTCCTTTAACAACATGAAATAAAATTATGTTTAACAAAAAGCAAAATTCATAAGAAATATAGTAACAAATGTATTACAAATTTGAAAGAAAAGTTTAAGAAAAATATTTAACATTCATTCATTATCCTTGATTCTCATTGTAGTCATTGTGCCCAGCATCTCTCCACATATCCAAAGCTATACCAACTCTAAATTCATTAGCATTATGTCGTTGCTATTCTTGTGTTTGAAAAACTAGTTCAGGATCCCCTTCATTAACCAGTAACGATGAAGATGAAGAAGATTCATCCTCCAATTCAATAGGAAATTCGTCAGATCTACACTTTTTTCGAAGAAAATTGTGTAGTCCTACACAAGCTAACACTATCTCTATTTGTGTTGCATATGGGAATGGAGGTGCAGACTTGAAAATTGTAAATCGTGACTTAAATATACCAAATATCCTCTCAATGGCATTCCTCAAGGACAAATGACGAAGATTGAACAACTCAACTTCATTTGTAGGTGTACGACGACCACCAAACTCTTGGGGATGATATCGAACTCCTCGAAATGGAGCCAAAAATTGGGGTCGATTTGGAAATCCACAATCCACTAAGAAAAATTTACCTGATAATAGATTACACATATGTTAGTATCCAATGTATGAGCTAATGTAAACTATAAGAAAATTTTGAAAATTTAAAAATACCTTGTGGCACTTTAAGTTCATTCCTCCTTGTTAAACAAAACAAATAGTCCAAATATCATCCAAAAAACAATACCAAAAACCAATCATTCCAAACAAACTAGTCGTTCTCAAAAACTCTCAAAAAACCCACTCATTCCAAATTGTAGGATATCCAATTTGAGCACTTCTCAAGAGACATTTTCAAAAATGCATCCTTTTTTGTGTTAGTATTCAACAAAGATAGCACTTTATAATGAACACGTTCATCCAAAATTGGGGTCTCCTTAATGGCATCCCACATATAACTTTGTTGCTTTCTTTCTTTTTCCCTTTTTGCCAATAGGTTATGGACTCCCCGGAAGTCAGTCACAATTGAATCAATGCTAAGGCTAATTCTTCCCATAGCTTGCTGGGTGGTCTCATTTGAGATAGCATTCCCTTCCAAATCTGTTATATTTCGTTTTCTCTGGCTTGAGCTTTCTGAGGGACCTTCACAATTAGTGGCCTGAAAAGGGAAGGATGAAGAAGAATGTCCGAGTAGTGGATCTTGGTGTGGTGGTTCATTATGATTTGGTATAAAAGCCTGACTTTCATCATCAAAGACAAAGTCCCCTATTCCAACATGTCTATCTTCCGCCCTAAAAGTTCTTGCATCAGTATCATCACCTAATCCTAATGAGTTTCTTCCAATAGCAGTTGCATTCCCAATTACAATTTGCAAATCCTCATTGTCCTCACAAGTTTTTGTTTGAATACTTGTGTCTTTTGGGTGGGACTATAACAAAAACAATAATAAAAAAATAATTATTTAACAGATTATGTATTCAAGTTACCAAACGGAATTATTTAAAGAAAATTTAATAACCTAACCTTAAAGTAGTCTTTCCAAACTTCTTCAGGAGCAGTGAATTTCTTTGTGGTTGGATTCCATCCAAACCCAGACCTGTGACGGAGAAGCTGTGAATATTTTTGGGATTCTCTTTTAAAGTACTTCAGCCGACTCTGGTATTGAGAATAGGTTTTGTGACACCTAAGTTTTTCATTAATCTTGGGGAGTATTTTGGTTTCTACAGTTACCTTACTTAGTATTTCATTAATCTTGGAGAACGATGCCACGAGTCAAACTCACAGCTCGCCATGACATATGGTAGATTTTGGGCTTTTGAGGTCGTTTAGGCTTCCAAAACAGAATTTAAAAGTTGAAATTTTTGGATTTTTGTTTTTTTAATGTTCATCTATATTTGTCTCAGTTTTTTTGTTCGATTATAGAAATGTTGTCAATTATTTCAATTTTCTATCTAGTTGTATATAGATATTTTAGAAGAAAAATAAGTAGCAACAAGCATAAACCCTAGTAACAAACATAAACCCCAGTAACAAGCATAAACCTTAGTAACAAGCATAAACCTTAGTAACAAGCATACCTTCACATATGGAGGAAGGAAGCTGTTCGTCTTCGCAGAGAGAAAAGTTAGGGCAAGAGAAAAACGTCTGATGAAATACTTGGGAGGGTGGTTGGATTATTTTGGTTTTTGTTATTTATGACTCTCTCCTTAAAACCTAAGAAAATTTATCACTTAATGAAATCCTTCCAAATATATAATCTTTCGAATACACCTAGATTTAATTCAACTTTTTCATAATTCTAATTGAATACATCCATATTTGAATGGACTTTTTAAAAGTTCATATAAGTCCGAATTAAATACACCCAGACTTATAAAACCTCTTTTAAAGTTGGTATAAATCCAAATTAAATACATCCGGATGTTTAAAATCTTTTTAAACGCTTTATAATCTTAATTAAATACACCCCCCCTTAATTTAAGTTTACTTTTGGCAATTGTGTACACTTGCAACTGGAGAACAACGATAGTGGTCTCAGACCCACATGACACCTTGATATAGCGTGCATGACAAACTCCCAATCCTTTTTAATTTAGACTATTGCATATATATATATATATATTAAATGTAATTTATAAATAAATAAAAAACACAATATTCTGAAGGAAAAAAAAGAAAGAAAAAGAAGAATACACAAAACATTTCCTTTTCATTAAAAAAAAACATGAAATTTCCGAAGCCATCAGCCAATAGGAAACACGGAACTCAAACTGAATCATTAACTGAAAACATTAGGGCGCCACAAAAACTAGTTTGAAGTCCGCGACTTCCCTCCCGACCTCTCTCCAATGTTCAATGTCCAATCTCTCTGCTCAAATCCAATTTCTTCAAATTCACACTCCAATCCCCACTCTTTTCAGCCCAAAACTTTTCGAAATTCTAATTACGCCCACAATTAGAAGAAGTATTCCAATCCCCAATCCGCTACCATTGACACCAATCGATCGCCTTCTCCATCACTATTTGAACCTCAAATTCAACTTCTTTGAGCTTATGGGGCGGTACTGTGCCTGAATTGGATCCATATTTGGCGAATTGACCTGTTTCTGACGGTACCAGTGGGCTACCATTTCAAGTTCTCGACGAAATTGATTGAATTTTGACGGGTCTGAGTGAAATTCTACGTGGGTTTGCTAGGGTTTAGCGAAAGTCTTGGTTTTGAGGGGCAGTCATGGACTACGAGCTCTCGGATAGCAGTGGTGAGCTAAGCTGAATTTCCTTTTTTATTTTTATTTTGTGTTAATTTTTATGCTCTTTTGTTATTCCATTGTGTATTTTATTGGTTGTCAGAGTCATTTTTGAGCTCAAATTCTTGAATTTATGTTGGATGTGATAGAATTTGGGTTAAATTACTGCTCTGGCCGTTCCTTTTTTGCTGTTCAATTACTGATTTTTATGGGATTGCCTTGAATTTTGAGGTTGAATTCAATGAGAAGTTGATGATTGGTAGTCAATTGTAATGTAGTGTACCCAGCTTGTGCTCCGAGTTAATATGAATTTTTTTTCTTTCTGCTTTGTTTTTATGTGCATTCTTATAAGTTGGTCTGGAACCACTATCTAATAGGTTCAGGTTCTCCCCCACAACAAGTAATTGTGTATGTTGTGGAGAATGACTCCCATTTTGGAAATCCCCATTCTTCCATTCTTCCCGTCTATGAATTGGTCTTGCATTAGTGTTTAACTTTCAATATCGCATTGGCAGTGGGTGAGGACCCCAAAGATAAATACTTTAATGGTTAGTGCTTAGCATTGTATCAGTTTCAGTCCGTTAAAGTCACTCCTATGTGGAATGTGGTCAATGGCATTCAGGTCCTTCTATTCCTATTCTGGCCATGCTCACTATGTAGGATTGGGTTGATGGTGTGTGAAAACAAGAAACAGAACAGCATTAAGAGTTTTGTTATATTGGTCATATTATGTGTGCTTCTTGTTGGTTTAGCTTTAGTGATTCAGAAAAGTTGGCAATTAAGGATAAAAGTTATGGCTTATAGTAGTTTAACCAAAGGATACTTTAGTTTAGTGTAGGAATAGTCAGAGATGCATTTTGGGCATGAAACTTATTCTACTGAATGTCTTTCTTTTTCTTTTTTCTTGTTTATTTAATGTTAATACTGCTTGTAGATGCTAAACCAACGTTTGAGTGGACTGTGCATGCTTTTAGAATTCATCTTCTGTATTGTCTGAAAAGGTTGATTTCATCTGCATTTTATATGCTAGTGTGCCTATACATTTGAGGAAGGACCTCATTCTTAGCATTTTTCGTCTGGAATATAAGATTCCTTATTTCTCTATAGAGATTATTTATGCCTGCTTTGTTAGGCGCAGATGCAAGAAGTAGACTGCTATTATATTTTGCATGTATTTATTATTGGCATGTATGTAATTGAAAAAGGTGGCCATTGGTGGGGAAAAGTCCTTGAAAAATGAAAAGGATTTATTGCTTTTCCGTGGGAATGTTCTTGCTATGTTTAAGGGACCGGTCACTGAAGCTGGAATAACAGTTCCTTATTATCTGAAACATTTGCAGGTACAGATGATGACCTTCCGCCCTCTCATCAAAATAGATTTCAAAGGGGAGGCCGATCTTCTGGGAATGGAAGATCTGCAGCTGTGGGTTCTGCTTCATTACCTAGGATGCATGGTGACATGGAAACCCAAATCCACCACATTGAGCAAGAAGCATACTGCTCAGTCCTGCGGGCTTTTAAAGCTCAATCTGATGCCATCACCTGGGTAGCTGTTTGATTTTGTTATTCTCTGTTTTTCCTTCCCCTCTTCCTTTAAATCAAAGTATGAATTGTGTTAGGTTAGGTCTGAAAGCCTGTCATCTTACATAATTTTCAGGATAAGGAAAGTTTAATTACGGAACTTAGAAAGGAGCTGAGAGTATCTGATGAAGAACACAGAGAACTTTTGTCCAGGGTCAATGCTGATGACATGATCCGGAGGATAAGGTCTGAATATATTATGGCATGCTGCTCTGAGCTGCAAATATGTGTTACATTTGGTTGGTTCTGCATTTTTTAATGAGAAATGTAATATTATATACTGTTAGGGAATGGAGAAAAACAAGTGGGCTTCAACCTGGCACACTTACTGCTGCTCAGCCTGTTCATGACCCCCTACCTAGTCCAACTGTTTCAGCATCACGCAAGAAACAGAAAACATCGCAGTCTGTAGCTTCCTTATCGCTTGGTGCTCCATCCCCTGCACTGCCTCCATCCATGCAACCGTCCTCATCAGCCTTGAGACGAGGTCCTCCTCCCGGAGGTCGGACCAAGAAGCCAAAATCAGTAAGTTGAAATAATAACGGGTTAAGAAAATTTTGGTATGATATTATTATTCTTGGACTTATTATTTTCTGTTCTTTTTTTAATGGAATATGTTGCCTGCTTATGAAGTCCTCTCAGTACCCTTCCACAAGTATTACTGGAAGGCCCCAAGCCGCTAATCGAGGCTCTTCTGGTGCCTTTGTGGCAAGTGAGCCTGCTGAGGGAGCAACTTATGATCCATTAATAGGAAGAAAAGTTTGGACAAGGTGGCCTGAAGACAACCACTTCTATGAGGCTGTTATAACTGATTACAACCACGTTGAGGTATGCTCTTGTGTTGACTGAGTTCATCTAAACATGAGTAAGCCTTAGTAATTAGCATTTTTGACCACACATAACTCCAATACTAATCCTTATAATTGGCAAATGTTGACAGGGCCGACACGCTCTGGTTTATGATATTAATACAGTGGATGAGACATGGGAATGGGTCAATCTAAAAGAGGTAAGTGCTACATATTCTATTTTTTTTCTGTAGGCTTTTAACCCTCTTCGTTTACAAAGTATAGTCTACGTCTCATAAATAACTAGATATGAAAATTAAAAAAGTCAAAGTTTTATTTTATTTTATTTTTGCGGGGGCACTTGTAAGCTTTGTATTTGTAGTGGTTAAAAGCACTTATCCCCTACACCTGAGGTCCGAGTTTGAGCGCGCCCCCC